AGTGTATTGTCCATGCTGGACAATCTAAACTATAGTAATGATCCAAACCCAATCTCTTTGACAGTGTTTTTTTGTTCATCATTGAGATTTGCCAACATTTTGTTAAACTCCATTGATGACATCCTAGTCTTGAGCTGAATTTTCTTTTGAGCTTTTTCTTTCTTTACAGTCCTATTAGTAGCCTTTTCTTTCTTTCTGTCTTCTTCATTTCTTGTAGATCTTTGCCTTTTCAGGTAGGTTTTGGTAACATCTTTTAATGATAAATCTACTTCTTGGCTAGACATATTTGCTGCAAGTAAAATGCTAGTTAAGGGAATAAATCCAGCCATACTCTACAAAGAAATAAGATATTCACTAAAAGTACTCATAAATCATGAATTAAAATAATGTACCCTATAGATTAAAATAATGTACTTAATGCATATAAATAATGTACATCTAACAGAAACACAATATTAGTGCCTTTAGAAGTTCAAAACCAGCAATGATCAATATATTAAGATATTTTGATAAACAACTTCAAATAAGCTCATCTACCTACCACTGCTTGCTTATGTATGCTAGTGAAAGGGTTGGTTGGTGCAGAATTTCAAATAAACAACTTCAAATTAAGGACAAAAAGTGTTCATTCCCTTAACTATTTACATATACAAGATTGGCCTCAGAAATACAATCCAAGTAAATACACATTACCAAAACAAGTAACAAGAATATCATATGTTATTTAACCTTTTAGAGGGGAATTGCCATTTTAACTAGCCTCAGAAGTCAAAATGGCTATTCCCCTCTAAAAGGTTAAATAACATATGATATTCTTTTTACTTGTTTTGGTAATGTGTATTTACTTGGATTGTATTTCTGACGCCGATCTTGTATATGTAAATAGTTAAGGGAATGAGCACTTTTTGTCCTTAATTTGAAGTTGTTTATTTGAAATTCTGCACCAACCAACCCTTTCACTAGCATACATAAGCAAGCAGTGGTAGGTAGATGAACTTATTTGAAGTTGTTTATCAAAATATCTTAATATATTGATCATTGCTGGTTTTGAACTTCTAAAGGCACTAATATTGTGTTTCTGTTATATGTACATTATTTATATGCATTAGGTACATTATTTTAATCCATAGGGTACACTATTTTAATTCATGATTTATGAGTACTTTTAGTGAATATCTTGTTTCTTTGTAGAGCATGACTGGATTTATTCCCTTAACTAACATTTTACTTGCAGCAAATATGTCTAGCCAAGAAGTATATTTATCATTAAAAGAGGATACTAAAACCTATCCGAAAAGGAAAAGATCTACAAGAAATGAGGAAGACAGAAAGAAAGTAAAGGCTACTAATAGGACTGTAAAGAAAGAAAAGGCTCAAAAGAAAATTCAGATCAAGACTAGGATGTCACCAATGGAGTTTAACAAAATGTTGGCAAATCTCAATGATGAACAAAAAAACGCTGTCAGATTGGGTTTGGATCATTACTAGAGTTTAGATTGTCCAACATGGACAATACACTAAATGCATATTTGGTAAAAAACTATGATGTTTTTAGTTGTACTCTAATGTTGGAGAGTGCAAAGATGGAGCTCACAGAAGATGATATGGAGAGCACATTAGGTCTCCCCAAGGGTGAGGTTGAAGTTGTTAAAGGGAACAACTCAAATGCAACTAAATAATACAAAACCCTATTGAAAGAATGGAGAACACATTGGGAATTAGACAATTGTTCTCCATTGGTGAAAACACTTTCCCATGGCATAATTGAGAAGAAAGACCACGGTGACATGTTCAAAAGGGATTTTGTGGTGTTTGTTGTTTCTAGTTTGTTAGGGCCACGCTAATTGGACATCAAACTTCAAAGACTTGTACTCATTGGTAGACGTGAAAAACATCAAGAATTTGAATTGGTGTAGGTACATTTTAAATAGTCCTACTGAAACAATGGAGAAATGGAAGAAGTCAAAAAGTACATTCTTCACTGGACCATTGTTCTTCTTGATGGTAATACCTTTAATTCAATTTATGTTGTTTATTCTATTAATGCATTTTTTTGCTTTTATACTAGCTTTTTATTATTATTTAGGTTTCATACCTTGATAGGCTACAATTTAAAGGGCAGCAAATCCCAAGGAAATACCCTGCCATATTAGTTTTGACAATGGATATGGTCCAAAAAAGATTAGTAGATGAAAAGAATTTTGGTGGGTATGGAAGGGGAAAAGTCTTGGATAGAGTTAGGAAATCGGTTGCTGAGATTGAAAACAAGAACATTGTTGGAGATGGGGTGGAGACACAGGCAGTTGGTGATAAAGCTAAAATGAGCGATGTAAAGAAGATATCTATGGGAATGAAGAAACTGACTGCAGCTATAGTTGAATTTGGGGAAGTAATGGCTGGAGTTGGGAGTAAAAACACTGGGCAAGAAATTATAAAGAAAAATTTCATCAAGATGTCTGATATGCTGAACATTGCTTCAACATCCCAGCCTAACAAGACTTCGACGTTATTGGACGATGATCCAATCTTCAGCAGTTGCATCATTGGAAAAGGCAACAGTGGAAGCATTGGTAAAGGCAGTCACAATCACCGAAGAACTTGTTGAACCTGAACTTGTTGAACCTGAACCTGAACCATTGACCTGTCATGATTGTTTGTGGACACTTACCACCCATAGCTCGCAAAAATATTTTAAACAACCAAATAAATGATTCAATCCTCTCGTTCAATAAAAACCCACACCCAAACATTATGTTCATACAATGGTGATTCATGCCAACAAAGGGACCACAAATCATATCTTACTTATTAGTACGATACATTGTGTCATGTACTACCAAATCACCAAACAACACAAAATCCTCCTTCATTCTTGCATCCCTCGAAAAAAACTACACAGTCTTGCACCCTCATCTAATTCAAAATCAAAGAAAAAGTCAGGTTCATTCAATTGCCTTTGTCTGAAGATCTCAATTAGTGAATTTGAATCGGTGCCATCTAATCTCTTTATCGAATATCTGTATGCAGGCTATTATAAACATCCCTTGGTATAAATCCAACCAAAGGTGAACCTCTAGATTGGTCTTTCAAAAATTGAATGCCATCCAACAATGCAACCCAACTCCTTTTCAAGTTTTTTAAATAATCTAATTGGGTATCAACGACACTTCTGTGTGACCGAACAAGATAGCTGTTAGAAGGTGGACACAACTCATGGTTATGATCCTTTACATATTTTATCACACTCAACTGTCCATTAGACGCCAAATCAAACTGACAAAACACATTACACCATGTTCATGTGTCTACCCTTGAATATGACCTTGAAGACTTACTTGTGTTGTCCTTAAAATTAGCCTTTGCACAGTGGAATTTCTTCATTTTAACAGTCTGACTACCAAAAACATAGTACTGGTTGCCCTTTCTAACACTAAATCCCAATCTAAAAACATAGTCATTATATAAATTATATGCTTCTTCAATTGAGATAACTGTAATCCCCAACAACTCCTGATTAACTGTAAATTTCAAAAAACAATACAACTAACAAGTTACTAGCATAACACATTGATATTATGTTTAGTGAATATCAGATTTTTAAGTAGAAGGGTGGGGGGTGGGAGAGGGGTGGGGGTGGGCTGTGCCGAATAAATCCATCCATGCTCTACAAAGAAATAAGATATTCACTAAAAGAATAAACTCTATGCACAACAGAATTTACAGATAAATCATGCATAATAATAATGTACCCTATGGATTAAAATAATGTACCTAATAACCAAGTATAATGTACCTTAATCAGAAACACAACTTTCAAATATGAATACACATAGAAATGATACATTAAAATAATATACCCTATGTGTTAAAATAATGTACCTACTGAACAAAAATACTGTACCTCATATCAGAAACCCAAGTTTCAAATCAGAAAGTACTCATAAATCATATTTAGAATAATGTACCATATTAATTAAAGTAATGTACCTAATGCATATAAATAATGTACCTCTAACAGAAATACAATATATTCACAACAGAACATGCAAATACTTTATTGTAACACCAAAAACAATAATAAAAAACGAATCATTCCATCAATATAATTAAAAAAGAACTAATAATAATTAGATAATAATCAAAAAGTTAAAAAAAAAAAAAAAAAAAAAACCTGGAATTGAAGAACTCTCATCCATAGCATTAGAAGAATTAGCTTGAACTCCAATTGATGAACTCTGATTTGCTACACCCCCAGAAGTGCCATCAACTGAAAATAATTTATGTTAAGCATGTTCAACAGTGTAGTATATTTTTCAAAAAAAAAAAAAACAATGTAGTATATTTTGCACGAAAATAATGTACTCTATGAACAAACATTATGTACCCTGTGAACAAAAATTATGTACTCTTACACAACCAACTAAACAAACCCTAGACACAATAGATCAAAGCATTGTGAAAGACAAACCTGGAATTGATTCAATGGGAGAAATCGGTTCAACATCAATCAAAGCATTGACATCTTCTACAATATAAAAAATACGCAATATAAATCAAAATTCAAATTAAAAACGAACCTAAATTACATATAAATAATATACATACCTGTAATACCATCATCTAATTCAATCGCATTAACTGTATTGTTTGAATCATTGATATTATCCATGATGCAAGATGCCTATTCAATGACAGAGAAGAAGTAATTCTAAGAAAGAGAAAAATCACAGAGAAAGATGCAAATCGCCGAGTCGGCGAACGAAGCAAATCGCAGAGTCGATGAACGAAGCAAAGAATCGTGCTTGATAGATTGAAATCGCAGAAGAGAAAGGGAAACAATGACCAGTGAAAGAAGGAAACGCATTCTAATGCCGTTAAACTAAAGCTGCGAATTCTTTTATTTATTTATTTATTTTTTTAAGATCAAACGGTGTAGTTTTGGACCATGGTCCATGCAACTTGTGTGGACCATGGTCCATGCAATAACAGTTGCGGGATACGTTGATAGTCCACGACAGAGAAGAAGGGGCTTCCGAAGCAGAAGAAGAACAGAGAAAAACCTCCATCAATCTCCGGGAGCTCAAGCTCTACAGTGATGTACGGAGGAGGTAAAGTCTCTAGAAAGGAGTAATTCAGCGGAAGGCGGGGGCCGAGAGGTACTTCTACTGTGTGTTTGCTTAAACCCATTTGACGTTTTCATTTTTACATTCTGCAGATGAAGTTTCGGCCATAGTCGTAGACTTGGGCTCTCACACTTGCAAGGCTGGTTACGCCGGCGAAGATGCTCCCAAAGCCGTCTTCCCTTCCGTAAGTTACAGCTACACCCACGAACAATTTTACTGTTTTTTTTTTTTGGTATATACGTAAATGCAAGTGTGAGAGCTAGGGCTTTTAAGTATTTAATAACTGTCAGTTATATGAACTGTCTTGTGATTGGTCTTAGTTATATACTAAATTTTGTTTCTTATAAGTCTATGGTTTTTCTTCAAATAGTGGTAACTGTTTTCTCTTCTGTAAAGATTGTTGGATCAATTGATCAAATGGAAGTTGACAATCACGATAATCCAGATAATAATTCTAAATCCAAGAGTAAGGGCATATTGTATGTAGGATCACAAGCCTTGGGTTTCCGCAGGGATTACATGGAGGTCAGCTTGCAAAATTCTAATGCTTGGGAAACGTTATAACTTTTATCTTATCTGATTATATGATTGGCTATTTCATTAGGTATTACCATCCATAAAAGATGGAATAGTTGCTGACTGGGAAATTGTTGAAAACATATGGGACCATGCCTTTAGGTACTAGACCATTTGTTTTCTTGAAAAGCTCCCTGTGTTTTTCTACGTTTAACTGCTTACTTGCGTTGGAAAATTTATGGCAGCCTATTTTCTTCTTGCTTAAAACACAAGGTTCCTTACTTTTCTCACTTGTAGGGAATGCTTGTTGATAGATCCTAAAGAGCATCCCATGCTTCTGGCTGAGCCATGTTCTAATACTCAACAACAGAGAGAAAAGTGAGTTTGCAGTCAAAACTATTTCATTGTGTCATGTATGACCTAAATCGTTTTATTATTTCAATGATTAACTGAAAGGGTTCTTACCTTAAAGAATAATGCTGTCTACTTCAGGCAATTGTTTCCCATTGTTAATTCCTGATGCTTGAACTTGTAAATAAGAGATAATAACTAAGCATTATTCAACAAAGCTATCCAATGCTTGCATATATTTCTTCCTTGGTATATTATTCTTATAATAAAAGACTGCAGCTGAGCAACAACTTATCTAACAGGGCAGCAGAGCTTATGTTTGAAAAATACCAAGTCCCTGCTTTGTTTTTGGCCAAAAATCCAGTGAGTTCATGCTTCCATCTTTCTGTTTTGGTTTGACATAAATTGCCTCAAAGATGTATTAAAACCAGATTGTTTCTTTTCTCATTTTAGCTTAATCTTGTATGAGATTATGATCAAGTGTGTGACTGCTACATGGGTGGTTGTATTTCTGTTAATGCCAGGTTCTGACATCTTTTGCATCAGGACGTGCCACCTCTCTGGTGATAGATAGGTAGGAGATTATGAGCTTATTGTAAAACAACAGTCCTGGTTACTTCTTGGACATTACTGTTATGTTCTCGGGCGAAAGCACACGTCAAAGGGCGATTAGGGTTATTGGGGTTGTCTATGTTGAGTGATAAATTTAAGGAACAAAGATAATAGGAACGTTTTGAGAGTTTTCCCACCTCTTGATTTTAACTTAACTTCTTTCTTGCTTGTTATTTTATTAGAATGAAAATCCCCTTTATATAAGAGGGTTACAAAGACTAGTAAAACATAAAAAGGAAAGGAGAATCATTAAAGCTCCTTACCATAATTATTTCCCATCTCTATAGGAAATAAATCAATTCTAATAGTAAGGATAATAAATCAATTCTAATAATAAAGATATTTCCTTAATCATATCAATTACTCACAAATCAGTTTATCTAGAAATAAAATCCAAAATTGCTTGAATATATTAGCTTATTTGGATGAAAACATATTATTAACTTGTTAAATTTCTAATTAAGTACTTCACCAACAGAAATGTTACACAATTATCTGTAGGTATGGAATTTCTTGCTTACATCATTTTACTAATATCTTATGCTATATTTGCTTTAACATTTTCTAATTCTATTTGTTCAGTGGTGGAGGGTCGACTACAATTGCTCCTGTGCATGATGGATATGTTCTTCAAAGGGTATTTCCTTTTAACATGTATAAATGCATTTGATAGAGGTCGCTTACTGACTGAACACATGGAAGGTGAATTGGGTGTTAAAGTCCTAGAAATGAGGTTGAAACTGAAGAACTGAAAGTTCAGGGTAGGAACCAATGCAGAATTCCTGAAGAGGGAGAATAAGATTTCCCAATCCTGGAATGAACATTTGGCTGTGCTTTTTTGTTTATGAAAGGTGAAAATATTTAACAGCCTGTTTGGTCAACAGAATGAAAACAAGGGGAATATGAATAGAATTTCAAAGTCAATAGAGTAGAGAAGGAAGGCTATCTCATTGTTCGACTTATAAAAAATAACACGGAGTATACAAGGAATAACATTCTAGAGTTTGGTTGGCTTAATGAATGGAAAAGGACTATACCATCAAATAGCCTAAATACCCATATTCAAGACTGAATCTGATGACCTCAATATATTTTAGAGAACACAGATTAAATTGAAGAAATCCTATTTATTTAATATAGATAACCAAGGGAAATATATATACATTTAAAGATGCATATGTATTCACTATTTTATACTCTTTTTTTTTTTGTTATTACTGTTTGAATATAAGAATTGTCTCAAGCATGAAGCATGTAACCTAGCCACCTTGAACCACAGAAAAACCTCTGCCAATCATCTTGAATGAGCCCTGGACTGTCATGAAACCCACTGCTGCAAACACCAAATCTGGACTGCAACCATCAAATCCACCTAGATTGAGACCATTGTGAACTCCACAAAAACATTAACAAAACTAGCAGGATTTTCGACTTCTAGCCATCCTGAGCTGCCTCCTGGCATTACAAGAGATGGAGGGTAGAAAGGAAAGGTTTACAAAGGAGGGTGTTTTTGTCTTATAAAATAGCAAATCTGAGCCAGGGGTTTGGACTGCATTCCCTGGAATAGAAAACAAAAGGTATTGGCAATTCCATGGGATTCCCATCCCATTCCTGGTAAATTCTATGAATCAAAGATGCCAATAAGGATTGGGTTGGAATTGAGGAATCTACTCCCCCCTTCACTGTTATAATCTTTTTTTTTTCATGGAAATTTCCTTTGTTTATTGCGTATACTTTCATTTTCCTATTTTCCTGATAAATATAATTTTGATTAAATTAAAATAAATTAAAAAGATGATAATGTGTGCAAATTGAGGGTGTGGCACAAGGTCTATTGAGCTAGTAATCTTAACGTGTTTCAGAGTGGAATTGGTTGTAAATGCTGACTTATAGGTTGATTTCCATTTTCTATCATTCCAGAATTCTATTAATCTGTTTTCCTACCTTGTAATTTATTTCTCTTTTCAAAGTTTGTCTTTAATGAATGCTCTATGCTTCATACTTTACAATAGGCTGTTACTACATCTCCTATAGGGGGTGAAGTGCTTACTGAAGCCTTGATGAGAAGTTTGGAACAAAAGGGCATTGTTGTGAGTAACTTGTTTGCTTCAATTTACATCCTAATACATGAATAATTGAGATGATCCAGATATATCTTACTACGATAGCTCATTTCCTTTTTCTCCCTGTGCTCAACACTACAGATAAAACCTCGATATTCTTTCAGGAGAAAAGAAATCCGGCCAGGAGAATTTCAGGTTATTCATTATTGCTTAATTGTTAATTCTGTAATTCACCCGTATTTTACTATGCATTTGCTTTTATGTTCCTCTAATTCATTGAAGTTTAGGTTGGCTCCTCTTTGTTTATGTGTGCCTACATGATGTCAACCTTATACTCTGAAACTTCTCCCCTAGAGCCTAGAGGGGAACTCTTTCTTAAGCTATAGTTATTTGTTCTCTTCTCAAATAACTAAAGAAAACTTGGGAGCCTAGTTATTTTCTTTTTCAAGCGTGCGTACACTTGTGATTCAGACTCTGGAAACAATCATACTGCGTGGTTAAGAAATAACACTTTCATTGTGATTGGGAGCTGGAAGTTGAAATAATGCTTCACCAAACAAAAGCTTTTAATTGGAATCTTTGCATTCTGAAGCTAGTATTGTTGTTTAGTGCTATCAATCCATTTGTTTTTTCCTTTTTAACTTAAATCACTCCTATTATTGCTATTCATTCAGATGGTAGATCTTGATTTTCCTAATACAACCCAAAGTTACAAACTCTATTACCAGGTAATTTACTTGTTGGAATTCTGTATGCAATTATTGCAATTATTTATTTTATATGTGTGTGTGTGTATGTATATATAAAAATTGTTATTGTACTAAAATGTTCTTTCTTATCACAGAAAGTGATTGCTGGTGACATCAAAGAATGTGTATGCCGAGCCCCAGATACTCCATATGATGGTTTGTGCTCCTCTTATGTTGGATTGTTCCTAATTTCTGTCATTTGTTATTTTAATTTGATCATCATGCATTTATCAGCAATTTTCCGTGAGAACTTCTGTAACTGATGGTGCATGCTTCTTTGATGATAAAGTAAATTCACATCAGAGTTGGTAGTTCCCTAGTGGAAATATCAAGTTTCCTACCAAGTTTAAAATAGTTCTCATCCAACTCAGACCACTATAAGGGAAAAATAGATTAGAAAATTAGTTGCATTATGCAATTGTACATGTGCTACCTATGACAACCTGATATAATTGGAACTTAACCTAAAAGCAAAAAAGGGTGATACATTTTGGGTTTGTTGGTATTTATTGGTTCATTTTAAATTCATTGTTGTACATATGTTATACCTTGTTTGGTCTTACAACTTCCAACTTTTGTTACTTCGTATCCTGCAGATACTTCATACTCGAATATTCCGATGACACCTTATGAGCTTCCTGATGGGCAGTAAGTTAATGATCTCTGAGGGTGATTTATCAATTCATTTGGATCTCACTTTCTTTCAACGCCAAAAGTTTGAAGTGTCTTGGTCCTACTTTTATCTTGATTCTATTTTAATCTCTAGTTGGTTTCAGCCAGAGACATCTTTGCCCTCTGCCAGAAATGAATTTACTGCTGTTTGATTTTTTTTTTTAATCCTTGGTATTAGTGTCGCTAAATTGTCTTTGCTTTGTATTATGTCCCAGGACAATAGAAATTGGTGCAGACAGATTCAAGATTCCTGACATCTTATTCAATCCATCATTGGTTCGGGTTGGTGTAATTAAGATTCACGCTGTGTTGATTAATGGCCCTGTTTGGTAAAAAATTTGCCTATAGGCCAATTTTGGCTTATTTGACCACTATTAATTGTTTGATTTAGTTAAAATATCAATATAAATGTTTGCTTAATTAGCTTTTTGCAACTCCAAAAGGCTAAAATTCAAAAAGCTACTCCAAGCAACTTTTTCAATTAGCTTTTTGAGAAAAGAAATTATACCAAACAGCTATTAGCTAATAGCTAATTTACCAAACACTTTTCTACAATCAGCTAATGTTATCAACTATTTATACCCTTTAATTAACACAATCAGCTAACAGCTTACAGCCATTTACCAAACAGGGTTGTGTTTTGCTCCATCTTTTCCATAAGATCCAATTATTCTTCTGTTTCTTTGTATCTTGAAGGGTGGCAATCATTGTCAGTGCCATATTTTTTTCATTAGATGCTTCAGGAGTTCAGGGAACTATTAGAGATATGATTTTTTTTTTTCTTTTTTCTAGTCCATTTTTATATGATGTCTTCAGTCTTCCTTACTGATGCACTTGCATTTTGATTTTTAATTTATAAATAGTTTTTCACTTTGCGACAGCTGACAGGTTGTAGTACTTTTTGTCAGTTTAACTTAGGGCATCCCCATTAGGGGGTTCATACCCACATTTTGAAACAGTAAAATCCCCTACTTTTGCTTTTGAACTAATGGGATGGCAAAAAATAAGCTTCATTTTTCTCCTGCAAAAAAAAAAAATTTGTCAGAAATTTAAAAAAAAAAAAAAAATAACAAATGAAGGGTGAGACGCGCAGGTGAGTCTCACCCTTTCTGCTTCACACGCGCCCGCCAAGGCGTATTGGCAACGGCCATAATTTATTTTTGCCAACTTATAAGTTTTTTTTTTTTTTTTTTTTTTTTTTTTGTTAATAATTATCATTTTATTTGCTATAAATAACACATCTTTCACCAATTTTTAACACTTCATCCTACTCTCAATTTCTATATTTCTCTCAATTCATTCAACTCTCTCAATTTGCATCATCAACTTCGTGCGGATTTGGTTGAGCATATATGGAACAACAACGACAATTAATTTAACCGCTTTGTATTTTTATTTTTATGCGTTTGAATTTATTTTTAACCGCTTTGTAATTTAATTTTTAAGCAATTAGTTGTTTAATTTTCATTTTATAACTATCGTATTTATTAATTAGGCTTACTATGTTTATTTTAATTATAAGTTTGGAAATGAAAGCTTGCAATTTTTACGTATGCTAATTTACGTATTATTTTTACGTATCATTTATGTTTACCTCTAAAATTATAAATTTTTAAATCAAATAATAAAGAAATAATTAAAATATGGAGATAAAATGGTGGGTCCACAAAAAGTTGTGAAAAAGCTTCAAACTAATGGGAAGAAGAGATTTTGTGATTGAGTGAGATAGTGGATGATGAGGTGGATGTTGGGGCCCACAAAAATTAGGGGTAAAATTCCCAACTATTGAGGATGCCCTTAGAGCATCCACACTAGTTGAGTTTTTGCACAATTTTTAAGAATGCCATGTAGGAGAGAGACAAAAATGGGAGAGAAAAAGAAAAGGAAAAAAAAATTCTGACAATTTAAAAAAAAAAAAAAAAAAAGAAAAAGAAAACCAACGGTTCAGTCAGAGTGGCTGCCAGTTGGCGGCCACTCTACCGCGCCCCAGTGGGCGTGAAGTGCGCCTCAAATGTGCACCAAGCGGCGTTTTTTTGTTTTTTGTTTTTTGTTTTTTTTCCTTCTGCAAAATCCATGAATTTGCAGGAGAAAAATTTGTTCAAAAACCATGCTTCACATCAGTTGTCTTCTTGTTTCGCAAATTTTTTTTTCTGCAAAAAACCTCAAAAAAACCACAGATGTGGTTGCCCTTAACTTTGTAATTGACCAATATGTTGCATTTTGGATAGTGATTTTGGGATTTTTTTGATCAATGTGTGATCTCAGACCATTCCCGGTATGGAAAGTTTTGCTGAGAGTGCTGCTTCCCTCCGGAGCCTGCCACAAATGGTAAGTCCTTTATATCTAACAACATGAGCTTTGATAAGCACAGCAAAGATTGCCAAAGAAACACTAATTCATCCTTTTGGAAAAATCATTTACGCTTAAAAATTTTCAGGTCATCGAGAGTATAAATAGGAGTGATGTGGATATTCGAAGAGAACTCTATAGCAGTATATTGGTAAACCTTTTAGTACTTTATAATCTTCTAATTACTTGTACGTGTATGGACCTCGTATTTTCTCTTATATTTTTTCCGCATAATTTTATTTCATGGAAGTTGACTGTAGTAGAAACGTTATTTGGACTCTCACTGTCTCACATTTTGATTTTTGAATTTTTCTTTTCCTTTTCTTGTTTTTATGGGACTCTATTGTTAGTTTGTGCCTTCATGGTTGTCTTGTCCCCTGATATCTGAACTAGAAGTGTTTCATTTATTTAATAACATATTTTTAGTTGATGGTGTGGTATACTTTACCATCACAATGCTTTTAAGTAAAAACTAGGGTACTATGACTGCCCTTTCTTTGGTGGCTACCCATTCTTCGGTTTTGAACTTTTTGATTACATAGTAGTATAGCTTATATGCTGCTGCCTGTTCTCGTACAGCTTGCTGGTGGAACAGCATCAATGCAACAATTGAAAGAACGTCTTGAGAAAGACTTGCTTGAGGTATTGTTTTCCCTTGAGGCTCTCTCTTCACTACATTACATTTGTGTAGTCATATATTGACATACACGGCAGTGTGTGTGTTAAACTAGAGGAAATTCAGAAACCACATAAATTTCTCTTGCTTGAGGAAATTACTCCGGTTGCATATATGGTGTGCAATAGTTCCCTTCATGGAAATAATTTTATATTTTAACTATTTCGACTGAATTGGTCATACTGTTGTTGTTCTTGTTCCTTGCGTTTCCAGAAATCTCCACAAGCAGCAAGAGTCAAAGTACTGGCAAGTGGAAATGCAACAGAAAGGAGGTTCAGGTTGGGATTTACATCCCTTCTCTCTGTCCTTATTTTTGACCAACTTCATTGCTTTTTCTTTTCAAAAAATTTTCCATCAATCCACTTCAAATAGTGGTCGTTTTCTGCCTCTTTTGATGGCTGTCAAAGAAATTTCAGTTCTTTGAATTCACTCTGTGCTTACTATTGTTTAATTCAATTACTCCCTCCATCCCATTTTGTGTCTGATTCGGTTAATGAGGCAGGTTTGAATGGAATTAGTTTTAATTCAATTTTTCATAATATTCAAGTTAAATGGATCTTTCTCAACATATATGTATATGCAGTGTATGGATAGGGGGCAGTATACTGGCATCACTTGGTTCTTTTCAGCAAATGTGGTTTTCAAAGTCTGAGTAAGTATTTCATTTATGCAACATTTTAGTTACAAACTGATTTCCCGTATTTTTATTCTCTGGGATATAGTTGTGCACTTGCAACAAAGATGGCACTATCCTATCATATAACCCACTCAATTTGTCAACAGGTATGAAGAACATGGAGCTCTGTTTGTTCAAAGGAAATGTCCTTAATTTGCACCAGTTTCAGCAGGACTGCTATTCCTGCAATGCATCATTCCTTTGTTTGATGAGAAAATCATGTACATTTAGTTCACACTAATCCAAAAAATTGATGTAGTTTCCCTGCTAACCGGGCACCATTGTAGCCCATTTAGACGACATTGTGAACTTGGTTACTGCGTTATTTTTTGAAGCTTCAACAATCTAAAACTGATCTGCCTTTAATGGTGTAGTTTCTACAGCGCAAGACTTATTGAGGCATAATGTACAATTGATAGTGTAGAAAACTTGATTTCTCTGTGTAATTTGATCATTGGAGTTCATTTGTATTTACTTAGTTACTTGATCTCCATGACTTGTCAACTGATACTGGAAGCAGTACAGTAGTTATTTTCTGGGTAAATAACTTGTGCTTGCCTTAATATTGACTTGTTCTACAAATTGTTAAAATTCCCGCTCCTGTGTTCTAGTTCCAATGATGAGAACTGAATTCTGAGAATCACATTAACAATTGAACTGTACAAGATATAAATACAATACATAATGAGAGTCCTATCACAAGTATAACTACAAGACTCTTAATACTTCTCAAGCTCAAGTTTGGTTAGCCACAACATTGAGCTTGTCACATAAGAATGCAAAACGTGAACCCGTTAGCAGTTTAGTGAAAATATCAACAAGTTGGTCTTTAGTAGAAATAAAATTAACATGTAGCTCCCCATTGACCACTTTATCACGAACAAAGTGGTAGTCAATTTCCACGTGCTTCATACAAGCATAGAAAAATTGGATTGGCAGAGAGATAAGTAGCTCTCGGTTATCACACTAGAGCTTAGGCGGAACCGAGACAGGCATTTCAAGCTCACCCAGCTACGACACTAACCATGAAAATTCAGCAGACACATCCGCTAAGGCTTTGTACTCAGCCTCGTTAGGTGAACGTGCTACTGTCCACTATTTTTGACACATCCACAACACCAGGTTGCTTCCTAGAAAAACAGCAAAACCAATTGTTGACTTGCGATCATCAGGACTGGCAACCCAGTCTAAATCAGTGAAGGCATGCAACTCCGTGGAGACAGACTTCCGAAGACGCAAATCGTAGTGCAAAGTACCTTTGACATACCGAAGCACTCGCTTGAGCATAGCTTAGTGCACCATAGTAGGCGAGTGCATGTGTTGACACAACTTATTAATAGCAAAGGAGAGATCAGGACGTACAACAGTAAGATATTGTAGAGCACCTGCTAGACTTCTGTACTATATAGGATCTGCATACGGCTTAGCCGAGGACTCAATGGTTTGAGTCAGTGACACAGGGGTAGCCAAGGCCTTATAGTCAACCTGCACGCTTTAGAATGTCACACATATACCGCTTTTGAGAGAGTAGCAATCCATTCGTCACCGAGACTATTTTAATGCTAAGGAAGAAGGACGAGGCACCCATATCACGAACCTTGAACACAAAGGACATCCTATACACCCACTCAAAAACACGAGTAGAGTCACTTCCCATTATGAGAATATCATCCATTGATCCACATAAAATAGAATATACACCTGAACATCGTTAACAGAATAAACAAAGAGAGAGACATAAGTTTGAGACGGACAGAAACCAACCGAGACTAGAAAATCATGCAACCGAGTAACCTGGATGCTGACACATGTAAACAGTCTCAGCCAGGCACTCGTTGAAAAAGGCATTATGGATGTCTAGCTACCGGATCACCCAGTCTTGTGAAAGAGCCAGTGAGAGAAACAACATAACTGTCGTGGGCTTGACAACTGGGCTGAAGGTCTCAAAGAAATCTTGACCAGCCAACTGATTAAAGCCGTTAGCAACCAGTCTAACTTTGTGATGCTCAATAGAACCATCAGCCTTTCGTTTAGTACGGAGCACCCACTTACAACCTACAATATTCATGTCGGGCCAAGCAAGTACCAACCGCCATGTATTATTCTGCAACAGCGCATTAAACTCGAGCTCCATCACCTCACACCACTCAGGATACGCCACAGCCTGTGAAAACATGTAGGCTTTGGTGGAATCGCCTAAGACACCAAGGCTGCATGTTGATCACGAGCCAGAATCATGTGTTGCAACACCATCAGGTGAGTGCGTGCTGGATGACCAAAAGCACCCGGAGGCTACCGCGAGCCCGGAGCAATCCGCAGATCCACTACAGGCACACTAGCAGTAGGCGCACTGTCAACCGGCGCCACCGCAGCTAGATGAGAAACTTGTGATGAGTCCGGAGGAGGCACACCATCTCGTGATAAACGAACTACACCCCACGGCGTAATCGGAGGCACGGGAGCAACCTGTAGAGCAGAAGAGCTAGCAAAGGGAAACACACTTTCATCAAACCAACATGCCTACCCACAAAGATCTTATTAGTGTTCAGGTCCATGCAACGATAACCACGGCTCAGTATAACCTAAGAAGACACAAGGAGCGGAACGATAATCCATTTTATGACGGTTATACGGACACAAACATGGGTAACATAAACAACCAAACACTTGAAGAAACAAATAAGAGGGATGAGAATGATGAACTTTGAAGTGTAGACTAATATTATCCATGACAGAAGTAGACATTTTTTTTGATAAGAGAAACAATGGTCTCAAATGCGAAGTCCTAGAACCGAGAGGGAACGGACACTTGAGCCATCAAAGTGAGACCCGTCTCAACAATATGACGGTGCTGACACTCAACACGGCCGTTCTGTTCATGAGTATAAGCGCAGGACTGACGATGCATAATGCCTAGAGTAGAAAGAAACGAACCCAACTTCTTGTACTCACACCCAAGTCAGATTGGATGGATTTAATTTTGCAAGAAAATAAACGTTCAACCATTGCACAAAAATTACTAAAATAACATATAAGTCAGACTTGAGACACATAGGATAATACCAAGTAAAGCAAGAGAAGTTATCCACAAAATAAAAAAAATACCGATAACCATTAAAAGATAACATTGGCGCGCAAGGCCCCAAACATCAGTGTAGATTAAATCAAGAACATGCAAACTAGATGAACTAACACGGGGTAAGGGAAAACGGGAGGATTTAGACGAATTAGAGCTAATAGAAGACGAAATAATTAGACAAGACTTAAAAATCTGACTCAATACACCACGGTCAGAATGACCCAAATGATCGTGCCAAGTTGAAGACGAAACACGAGCAGACATCAACACAATTGGGCTAGAATGAGACACAAGTAGCGAATAGAGACCCCCGAGCGATTCCCTTTAAGACCTCCTTGGTTTTGAGATCCTCCACGAAAAAGAAAGATGGGTGAAACTCAAAAAAAGACACCATTGTCAGCGGCAAAACATTGAACAGACAATAATGACGTAGTAAGCCCAGTAACATGCAAAACATTAGACAATGTAAAATATTTAGATTGAGTGGAAAATGAAGCATGACCAACACTAGTGCAGAGTTTTGGATTCAAGTTCATAGTCTCCCAACTGGATTCTGTTCGGAGGCAGTTCTGCAGGCCATTGGTGGATTTATAGGCCGTGTCACTAAAATAGACGAGTGCAACTTTGATGGTGCAATGTGTGTGTTCTTTCGGATTCGAGTAGAGATTGAGGTTTTGAAGCCTCTTAAGAAGGGTATGAAGCTGAAAAAGGATAATGGTGAATGGCTAAAAGTGGAATTCCGGTGTGAACGTTTGCTAGCCTTCTGTTTCATCTGCGGAGTGCTTGGACATGGTGACAAATTCTTCCATAAGATGGTACAAGGGTGGGATGTGAACACTGATAAGCCTTACGGTCCTGAGTCGCGTGCGGGGGGTCAGAGGAATAGCCCAACGGCTGGGCAGAGATGGATCGCGCCGGAAACCTCATCGGAGCGTAGCCAGTGGGTTGCGCCAGAAGGAGGGTTGACCATGACATGAAAGGAAAGAATCTTCATATTCCTGTTGTTGATTCACTTGCCATCCGGGTTAATGAGAAACACCCGAAGACCTTGCATGGTAAGTCCTCCTCTAATAAGGAAATTATTGATACTGGAATATGCATGGAATCCCACGCGTGCATGAACGGCTCAGAGGATGGTATTACCATTTTGGACCAAAAACGACGACGCACAGGGTTAGTTGAGGACCAAAATGTTGTGTCGAATGTACCTATGGAGGACCAAAATGTTGTGTCGAATGTACCTATGGAAATTGAGCGCATGGTGTCAAAAAACTTGTAGTTGGTGGGAGCTGGCGTAGTCAGTGTTGCAAAAATCGCGCCTAGGCGCTATGCGCTACCCGGCCGCGGCGAGGAAGGCCAGAATCAGCCTCCTCCACGGCCGGGCGGTCTAGGCGGCGCCTAGCCCGCCTAACCGGCGCAAACCTTTTTTTTTTTTTTTTTTTTTTTTTTTAGCTTATTCTGATTTCCGACGCAACAAACAATAAGTTTCCTTCCATCTCCACCTCAACAAACAGTGCGTTCCCGGAGCTGTTGAAGCCGGACGTTCCCGTACAGTCCATCGGAAGAGGAGCACTCTCTAATTTATCCTCTTTCGATGACGACGACGACGGAAATGGCGGCGACGGCAGCTCACGATCTTCCTTCTCTAGACGATGACTGTTGAAGCTAGACTGCTGGACTGCTGGAGCACACTGCGCACAACACACCGCCGACGACAGCTCACAATCTTCCTTCTCACGACGACGGTTGTTGATGCTGGAGCACACTGCGCATACACCGCCGACGACCGCTCACAAACTCACCATTTGTTTTCTCTGTTTTCTCACGAACTCACAGGATTGAATGGTGTGATATTAAAATCGAAAGATAGGTTGTCTACGTGTAAGGCTAGGAATGTTTCTTTTTTCAATTACCTTTCTACGTGTCTCTCTCACTCTGATTCAAAACCTTTACATTTTGACATTTGTATAACACTAACTCCAAAACAAACAAAATATAAATATATAAAAAATAAAAAATAAAAAAAGTAAATCGGGCGCCTAACGATTTTTCGCAACCTTGGGTGTAGCCCAGTCCCGCCCATCCCAATGAGTTCGTTATGTTGGAACTGTCGTGGTTTCAACGACCCACATATAGTTCGTGAAATTAGGCCTTAAATGCTATGGTCAAGCCAATGTTTGTCTTTTTAATGGAAACTATGGCCCGTCGTGATCATGCAGATTGGCTGAAGGCTAAGTTAAATTTTGAAGGTCTGTTTTATGTGGATAGCTGTGGTGTTGGAGGAGGTTTGACAATGTTATAGCGGGATAGAGGTGTTGCTAGTCTGATAAGCTACTCAAAGAACCACATTGATGTTCAGGTGAGGCTGCCTGGCAGCAACCCTTGGAGATTAACCTGTTTTTATGGATTTCCTGAAAGGAGTTGCTGACAACAATCTTGGGACTTTTTGCACTCTCTTTAGTCTAACTCCAACCTACCTGGGCTCGTTGCCAAAGATTTCAATGACATTGCATCTCCGAGTGAAAAGCGAGGTATTCACCCTCATCCTACGTCTCTTATGGAAGGATTTAATCTTATGCTAGAGGATTGTAAATTGTTTGACCATGGGATGAGAGGTCGGAGGTTTACGTGGGAACGTGGAAAGGGGACGGAGAATTGGGTCGGTTGGATAGGGTGGTGGCTGGACGGAGTGGTGTACTTTATTTCCTCAAGCAATAGTTTATAACCATGATGTTATTACTTCAGATCTTACGACCATTTTTATTGAATTTGAGGGGCCTCGAATTGCGAGGCAACGTAGACAATTCCTCTTTGAGAACGCCTAGTTGAAGGAGACAAGGTGTAAAGACATTGTTTTCGGGTCTTGGAATGTGTCTGCGGGATATTTATTGCCTAGTCGTCTGCAGCAGTGTGGTGCGGCTTTAACGAGATGGTGTGGTAATTTTGCAAAACGTGTTGAATAAGAGATTGTGTTTTTATAGCATTGTCTTAATGATTTGAGAGATAGACGGGATGGGATTGCCCTGGCCATGTTTCGTGACTTGGACGGGAGGCTTAGAGGTCTTTATGATCACCAGAACATCTTCTGGCACCAAAGGACCAAACAACACTGGCTCTTGAATGGGGACAGAAATACTAAATTTTTCCATCTCTATGCTTCGGCTAGGAAGAGGAAAAACAGAATCATGAATCTCCGTGATGAGGTCGATCAGTGGGTTGAGGGGGATGGTCTACTTGGACTGGCTATGCGTTACTTCCAAAAATATCTTCACGTCTAAAGGAGTCCACTTGGATGAGTCGCTTGATGATTTTGTACCGAGAATCACTGAGTTAGACATTCAACGTTTGTCCAGCCTTTCACAATCGAGGAGGTTAAAGAGGCCCTCTTCTCAATGGCACTGGATAAGTCACCGGGGCCTGACAGTTACAGTCCGGCATTTTATCAGCATTTTTGGAGTGAAATTGCCCACGATTTGGCGCATATCATTGATTGCACGAATAGTGAGGGTTTTCCGATTAGCATGAATGATGCGTTCATTACTCTTGGTTCCAAAAAAGACGAATCATGCTGCTATGGGGGATCTCTGGCCAATTTCGCTCTTCAACGTGACGTATAAAATCCTTTCGAAAATACTGGCTAGCCGGTTCAAAAACATTCTTGAGGGAGTGATCTCGGCTTCGCAGAGTGCTTTCATAACTAGGTACCTTATTACGGATAATGTGCTCATTGCCTGAGGTCATTCACTTCTTAAACCGTAAGAGAGAAGGTAGAGACGGGTGGTGTGCGCTTAAATTGGACATGGCGAAAGCGTATGATAAAATGGAATGAGTTTTTTTTTTTTTTTTTTTAAGAATATTATGAGCCATATGGGTTTTGATAGTCGTTGGATTGAGCTTGTCATGCGATGTGTTACTACGGTCCGGCATAATGTGGGCGTTAATGGTGGTCTCACCAACTTCATTGAACCAATGTGTGGGTTGAGGTAAGGGGACTCATTGTCTCCTTATTTGTTTCTCTTGTGCGCAGAAGGCCTCTCTCACTTACTTTCTAGAGCTATTAGCAAGGGCTTGGTCTTGCCGTGTGTTGTGGCTAGGGGAGCACCCGACATCTTGCACCTATTTTTTGGGGACGATAGTCTACTTTCTTTAAAGCAACGGTCCAGGAAGTTGAAGCCATAAAGAACTGTCTTGTTAGTTATGAGCGCATATCTGGCCAGTCTGTCAATTTTGGCAAATCATGCATAGTCTTTAGTTGAACACAAGTGAGGATGCCAGGAATGAGTGGCAGGGGTGTTTAATGTGAATCAATACGCCAATATTGGAAGGTATTTGGGTCTGCCTATGGGTGTTGGCCGCAATAAGAGGGAAGTCTTTTCCTATATTGAGACTGAGCTGAAACACCGGTTAAGTGGGTGGAACAAGAAAATTCTCTCGAGGGCGGGGAAGGAAGTGCTACTGAAAAGTGTTGTTCAATTTCCTCCCGAGCACCTTCTGTGAGCGTATTGAACGGATGATGAATAGATTTTGGTGGAAATCTAGTGGTAATAGAGGCGGTGGGATAAGGTGGATGTCGTGGAGCAGAATGTGTAGTCCAAAGTCGAAGGGTAGCCTAGGTTTCAAGAGTTTAAGCAATTCTAATGTTGCCTTACTTGTTAAACAAGGCTGGAGGCTGCTAACAAACCTATATTTGTTGGCTGCCCGGCTTTTCAAGGCAAGATACTACCCGCAGGGAGAATTTCTAGATGCGAGGATTGGTGCTAACTCGAGCTATTGCTGGCGGTCTATACTAGCTGGTCAGGAGGTGCTCCGGCAATGGGCGCTTTACATGTGTTTGGAAGCAGCCTTGGCTTTGGATCATGATCAAAACTTGAAGCTGAGTGCTTTGGTTAATCCTAAAACAAAGGACTGGAATATTGAGCTGTTGAATGATTTATTTGTGCTCCGAGATGTGGGTCGCATTTTGAAAATACCTGGTCCGCATGAGCAAGGGCAGACTCTGAATGAGGTCTGGCGTAATATTTGGCAGCTTGAAACTTTGAAGCATTTGATGTGTGATTGCGTTCAGGTTGTTCCTCTTTGGCATGATCTATTGGACTGTCTTCTTCCAGAAGCCGATGAAGATTTCGCTGCATGGCTATCAGGGAGATTAGCCCATGGGGACGTGGTAAGTAAGCTGCATATTAATGGCCTATGTTGGTGTATTTGGCGTGGGAGGAATGATGCGATCTGGAACAATAAAGCTTGGCAGTCTGCGTATTAAGCTGGAGGCGCAGCATCTTGTTCATGACTGGCAGGAGGCTTTGGCTATGGCTCCAAATGGCAGAGGTCATTTAGCTCCTTTGCCTATTGTCTTAGAGATCCCAAAAGACGTGGTGAAGGTTCATGTTGACGTAGCTGTGTTCCCCGATTCCGAGCAGGCGTATTTTGGTCTTGTTGTTATGGGTAACAATAGTGTTTTTATGGCAGCAAAAAATGGTCCGATTCGATGCTTGAATGATGCCCACTTAACGGAGGCCGTGGCTTTAAGGAAGCTCTCTCGTGGGTCAAGGATAGAAGCTTTGCTAAGGTTGTGATTCTTTTGGACTGCTTAACGGAGGCCGTGGCTTTAAGGAAGCTCTCTCGTGGGTCAAGGATAGAGGCTTTGCTAAGGTTGTGATTCTTTTGGACTGATTTCTCTTATGTAGGCTGTGTATTAGTGAGTGCAAGGATTTTCTACGACACTTTGAAGTAGTGTCATTTAAGTTTATTCCTAGATCAATGAAAAAGTCTATTTATGCTTTGGCTAGGGCTGCTCGTTCGCGAACTAGTCCTTTCTATTTGGATTTTTTCTGTTCCATCTTGTACTGAACATTTGATTTAATGAAAGTTTTGTCTTTTCCTTAAGGAAAAAAAAAAAAAAAAAAAAAAAAGAGCTAAAGAGCATATATTTATTACTAAATTGATTGGGGAGAATTGCATCATTTGTCTGACTTATACATGACTATAGTGTCCAAACAATATCCAGCTGAAGAAAAGAGTAAAGTCTTTTATTGGTTAATTCAACAGACAGACAACCATGTTTCAAAACTATTTGGTTTTCAATAATCTATGTACATATGTGAAATCTAACATCTCATACAGATTATTCTTTCTACTAGAGATTTGTTCACTCCAACAAGTCAACAACCTCCATTGGAGGGTTCAATTGAGCTCAATAGGCCATTGCCTCTCAGCTGCATGCAATGTTCTTCTGCATCTACTTGGGGACAGATAATGACCACTGAGAGGCCATTGTAATGTGCCTCTTGCATGATATTTACAGCGTTGTCGACGGTCATCCCTGGTATGACCTTCATAAGGACTTGGACAACGTACTCCCTCCTGTTGTAATCGTCGTTATGCAACAGCACACGATATGATGGGGACATTTTCCGGGACTTTCTGTGGAAAAAAAGAGAATAAATTAGGTCCTGTTTCAAAAATTATTTTCTTCATCCTAAAAAGGCAATGTGAATAAGGGAAATAGCATACCGTCTACCTCCCTCTCCTTTTTATTTTTATCCTCGTTTTTTAAATGAGATAGGAAAATGACTACTTAGCAAGGTGGAAAGTTCAAATAAATCATGACAGCTGGACATAAAATGCTAGTACATTCACCATGCAACTATTAAAAGGGCAATATCTTGTAACAAAAAGGTGGAATCGCCCACCCAAGGCGCCCCCACAGGCCACACCCGGCCTGACAATTTGTCGAGGGGTAAATCATGGTGACTTAACTGACCAACAAAGGGCAATATCTGCCCTGTCATCCTGTTGCACTTCTCCTTATGCATAGATATCAGAAATCTACAGATCTACTTCTGCTGCTTAAGTTCAATCTTCCTTTCTTTTGATCCCACATTCAAAACTCATACTTCTCTCTCATTCCCAGGAAAAGTTAATCACAAAGAGAATGAAAATACGAGTGGTAGCAGTCCTGGAAGGATGAGGTTTGAGACTAACTAGGTGAAAGGGTAATAGCTCAATTCATAATTGATATCCATACCTCAAATCAAACTCAGATTCTCGACCAGGAGTTGTTTTTTCTATTACAGGCTTGTCCAACAAGCCACCACCTTTTCCCACTCCTGCAATCGGCATTGCCATTACATTCCGGATTGCCCATTGTTTTTGAAAATGGTTCTTATCACCTGTGGTTAAAACATCATCATGAAAGTCAATCTTGAGCCTTGAGGTAGTGAAAACAATACACAGTAAAAATTCAATGATTCACAATGAGGTCTAAACATCATGATGAAAGTGAATCTTGAGGTAGTGAAAAAAATACACAGTAAAAATTCAATGATTCACAAAGAGGTCAAAACATCATCATGAAAGTGAATCTTGAGGTAGTGAAAAAAATACACAGTAAAAATTCAATGATTCACAAAGAGGTAGAAACATCATCATGAAAGTGAATCTTGAGGTAGTGAAAAAAATACACCGTAAAAATTAAATGATTCACAAAGAGTTGAAAATGATAAGCAAGGGAAGTAGTGAGAGAATATTGAAACAAACAAATACAGAGACAACAAAACATCTAAACCTGAAGAATACTAAGCCAACCATCTGAAGCTTCTCAAAGTAACTACCCGTTTTGCATTTAAGGGATTAATAAGCTTGCAATATAAACTAGAAAGCTTAAAAGTGACATGGCAAAGTAAAAGGACACAGTTGATACAAACAATAAGCACAGCCAACAACATTCATGGACTGAAACTATGACAATGATATATAGAGCCAAAGAGCAAAAACATGGGGTAACCCCAGCCAAGATAGTAAGAGATCCGCGCTTGTAACCACAAGGTCATGAGTTCGAATCCTTGCCCCCTTGGTTTGAGCCGGTCAGCTATGGGTAACTTAGGGTGGTTTACTTCCTTGTGGTCCTTTGACGGCTAGGATCACAAGTTGGGATTTACTCACACTCGAAAGGGTTGTGGGTTTCCCTCATCATCCAAAAAATAAAAAGAGCAAAAACATTATTTTTTCATTAAGAACAAGGCAAAGGGAAAAAAGAGGCACAATCTAGCAATATTGGATAAACTTAACAAGACACCATACAAGTACTAAGCTTAAGTGATTAACCAATACAGACATCAACAAATTACTACTCCTGAACATCTCCAGATAATCCCAAGAATGTGAAAGTCATATACAGAGTATATTTTCTTCCCATTGCACGGCCTAAAATAACTACTGCCAAATCAAATTTTTATCTTTACCTTCAAAACAAATTTTCATCGCAAGCAAAGTTAGTAGCTTGCAGGAAATTGCAAATTATAAACATAAGTACCTTGGGTGTCCAAGTGCAACTCACATTATTGAGTACAACAAAGGAATTCAAAAACGAGATTAAAAAGCCTTTTTTGTGGATAGCAAAAGCCCATATTTAGCTTAATAAGTGAACTCCACAGTAATTTACTACGGAGTAAATAAGTCAGCATGCAAATAATTTCACGGTAATATTCAGACAGCAATTGCTGATAAGAAAAACAACTAAATTCAACTCCAATTTCAATCCACCAGCTCAAGTACAAGAAAAATCCTCAAACATTAGCACACATGATCAAAAAAGCTATAATTAGATTAGAAACAGACCAAAAATCGATATGAAAATCTCCAAAAAATAAATAATAAATAAAACAAAACAAAACAATAATAGATGAAGCATATATCCAATCTGAGAATTGGTACAGAGAGAGCTAGAGAGTACCGGGTTTAGGGTGTGAGAAATGGTTGGGAGAGAGAGAAATTCGACCGCAAATCGCAGTCTCCATTGTAATGCACCACTCCCTCTAGCTCCGATTCTGTTTGTCTCTCTACTCACCAAACTCGCTAAAATCGGGAAAATATATTTCCAATTTCTTTTAGTGTCAAAATTTAAAATACCACACGAATTTTATATATTATTTATTTATTTATTTGTGATGAGAAAACTCACAATTACTATTTAATAGTTTACACTAAATAAAACATATCTTGCCATCTTAGACAATAAAGGACTAGAGGAAAGTAAAGCAATAGTCCTAACTAATAAGAGAGAGAAAAGTAAACCAGTTTAGGTTGCTTATTGACCGACTCAAACTAAGAAAATCATTAAGCTACCAAAACAATTTTTTTTTTTTTTTGAATGGTTGGGACGGGTATGTATAACACTAATTTTATGATCTATTTCAAAACTCAAAAAATATTTTTTTGTAATTAATTTTAAAAAAATTCAAAATTAAAAAAAAAATTCAAAAATTTGACTCAAATTTTCAGCTAAGTTAGTTAACTTTTAATTTAGTGACCACAATATTACAAGTTCCACCACTAATAAAAGCGACCTATTAACCTTCTTAATTCGAGTCAGCCTTCGTCACTCCAAAAAAAAAAAAAAAAAAAAAAAAGACTCAAATTCATGTTAATCTTACATTTTACTTCACATGTAATTTAAAAAGAAGACAAAAACTTGTGTGAGATCGTCTCACCGTAAGACAGGTTGGGTTAAGATTAAAATGCACAAATGCAATACTAATTATAAATAAAATTTTTATTACTCTACTAAAAAATGTAATACTTTTTTCAAAAAAAAAAATGTAATACTTTTATATTTTGATTTAAAAGTATTACATTTTTTTCAAAAGTATTATATTTTCCCTTATAAGTAACAAACACTTGTCAATATAAAGAAAATGTAATATTTTTAATAGAAAATATAATATTTTTACATCAAAATATAAAAGTATTACATTTTTCTCAAAAGTATTACATTTTTTTCTTATAAGTAACAAATATAATATTTGCATGTTGATTCGACACATCTCACGGATAAAGATCGGTGAGACGGTGTTTATACAATGTGACCCTAAAAAGAAAAACATTTACATTCCTTCGTTACCTAAATTGAGTCTGAATTAATCTTACAATAATATATTCTGAATGCTAATGTCATATTGTATGAAAGAAATTGATTGTCAGGTGGTCTAATAGTTAGTTACCTACCAGTAAGAGGTAATAAGTCCAAGTTTTAAAGGAGGCGTTTTATTTGAATTTCCATTTTTCCAAGAAGGAAAAGAAATCAACAGCACAGTTGTGAATTGTGATGTTGCTACTTGGCTCCATAGTAACCTTTCGTTGCCACCTAAGATAGGCGAACCCAACGAGGCAAGGATTATTCTATCAGTTTTTTCAGTTAACTTCCACTTTTGTAGCTCTCTTTACGCTTTAACATCTCCTCCAATGGGTTGTTGCCGAGCCCCATCTTTTTGGCTATGCTCAACCAGGCCAATAACCGCTTCCAGAAGCTTCCGATCACTCTCCATTCCCGGCTGCGTCAATGCTTCATCTAATTCCACGCCGCCGTCGTCGGCCTCCTACGGTCGCCGCTGGTCCAACCCCGTCCTCAGCAAGCCGCCGACGGAAATCGTCCGCCGTTGGGTTGAACCGGATGCTTACCATTCAATCCCGCCTCAAGGTTCAGCATTTCGTTTTATTACACTGATCATTGCTATTTGCTATTGTAATTCTTCAGTAACGCTTGCTGGTAGTTTTGAATGTGGTTTAATTGCGAAGCTTTAATGGTTCAGAGAGGTTCACGGTCGTTTCGTATAACGTATTGGGAGATAGAAATGCTCTGAACCATGGAGATTTGTATAGAAACGTTCCTTCTGTTTACTTGAATTGGGACTACCGTAGACGAGTCATTTGCGAGGAACTCCTCCAGTTGAGCCCTGATATTATCTGCTTGCAAGTAAATAATGCCCAATTTTGCTTTCTATACCTTCTATATTCCTGCATTTCTTTTAATCTTTGGAACCCTAGGTGAGAAGTAAACTAGTCAGCATTCAAATTTTCACCATTCTTATCTGTTTAGGAGGTGGATAAGTATTATGATCTCTTAAATGTACTGGAGAAAGCTGGATATGCTGGTTCCTACAAGGTTAATTTGTTTATTTTTCTGTTCTCAGTTTGTCTTTAATGTAGTACTGCTGTTATTTTTACTTGGAATGATGGGATGGACTTTTGACAGTGTGTTAAATGTGGTTATCGATTTATTTATATATCTTGCTAGAGGCGTACTGGGGATTATGTTGATGGTTGTGCTATGTTTTGGAAAGCTGATAAGTAAGAGTTAGATAAATTGGAGCTGTTCTTCTTAATTAGTTTGTCTGACTATTTCAAAAAGTTTACTGAAAACACTGATAATTTTGTTTGTCAGATGTCAGTTATTAGAGGATGAGAGCATTGAATTTAAACAGTTTGGTCTGCGGGACAATGTTGCTCAACTCTCTGTCTTTGAGGTAGCAATTGTGAATATCTGGCCTTTTAACTGAACTATTACCCTTTATACTGAATCCAAAAAGCTCCTGTATTTCAATGGCACACTGTACTGAATACTTGCTATCTTGAAACTTCTCCTTTAGGCTTAAATTACCCTTTACGTTTTGGATGGGTCTCCCTTTACATTATGGGATAGGGTGAACCAAGCAGATATGAGGGTGAAGTTCCAAAAAATAACAGATGTTATGAAATGCAATGGAAAATTCAATAAAGATTTTGTGTAGATATCAGATATGCCAACATGGCGAAGTACATGCACTAGATAGGATAGGAATTCCAGATTTTGTAGCTGGTTCAAAATGAATGCAAATTCTGTAAGAAAATTGCTTTAGCACCCATTTTCTAAAGATATGCCATTATTTTGTTTACAAACCTGAATTTTGGCTAGAGCTGCCTCAGATGGTGTGTTGTAGCCACATCATAGCATTATTTTTTCTCACAGATACTAGACTCCTTTCAATTTCTGTCTTTGATGCAGATAGATGCCGGAAGGCAGTGAAACTGGCTCAAGAAGAGTAGTAATTGGGAACATCCATGTTCTTTATAATCCACACCGAGGAGATGTTAAACTTGGTCAAGTATGATAAGTACTAACTTTTTATGAAAGAAAGATAATGGTATCTTGGCAAAGACACGTTTAAGTGTATGAGAAACCAGTTTCAGCTATTTCTGAATGATATCCATAAATTTCTGACTACCTTTTTATTTAGCTTAATGTTTTTTCTGTTTTTCAGATTCGCTTTCTTACATCAAGGGCATACATTCTTTCAAAGAAGTGGGAGAATGCACCTGTTGTGCTTGCAGGTGACTATAACAGCACACCTGGGGTGAGATATTTTCACATCATTTATTCTGATATCTCCCTTTCGGAATTATTATTTTGTAAAAACTTAGTATGGTTTTATACCCTTACACAGAGTGCAATCTACAAATTCTTGTCATCTTCTGAGGTAATATGAATATTTTATCTTTTAATAGAATACATCTTAAGATTCTGTTTGCAATATCAAGAGTTTGCTGGTTATAAAAAATACAACTTTGTTCCAATTACAAAGATTTTTGCTTCAATCAGGTTTTGATGTTTTTCATTTCTCATTGCAGCTCAATATCTTGCTACATGACAGGAAAGAGTTGTCTGGTCAAAGACGTAATCGTAATACTGTTCTTCGTCTTAGAAGAGAAAAGAACACTCTATTTGTTCTAATGGATAGGTACTTGAGTTTCTGTTTATTCCTTTAAATATCTTTTGATTTTTTTGCGATTTAGTGCCAGCTTATTGAGAAGCAAAAAAATCACATTCAATTTTTCAAATGATAAATTTTCCTTGAATGACAACAGTTTTAAACCAGAATGTGTCTCTTCGATGGTGCAATCTTGTTCTGATCTTAAAGAAAGAACTCCTAAATTCTGCCTCACATCATATATTTTTGGACTCAAACCCTGATGTCTGTTTCACTTTTATTTCAGATTGCTTAACGACCTTAAGTATGGTTGGACTGATGAGGAGATTAATGTTGCTACTGGAACTAACAGCCATATAATTATGCATCCTCTGAAGCTTAACAGTTCTTATGCTGCAGTTAAGGTATGAGTTTTATAGTCTTGCCATGACTTCTACAATCTGCTATATACACTAATACACCCATACGACGGAATGCTTTTATTTCTCTCAGGGATCTATGAGAACAAGGGACTCTAATAATGAGCCTTTAGCAACATCTTACCATTCAAAATTCCTTGGAACTGTTGATTATTTGTGGTGAGAATACTTCTCTGCATTTCAAACAATTATTATGTTTGATTAGTTCGGTGAAGCTGTTCCAGCAACAAGTAATTTAAAGAAAGATGTCCTCGCTGCATGGCAGGTACTCTGATGGCCTTGTACCTACAAAAGTTCTGGATACTGTACCAATTAATGCACTAGTCAAAATAGGCAGCCTTCCAAGCAAGGTATGATCTTTGCCTCAGCTAGTAGTATCGTGATTAGATAATTTGAAAAATGAAATATCCATTATACTGGCCATTTTTATTCAGGAAGGAGTATGTTTAGACCCTAGACAAACTACACCCTTGTGGTTTTTTAGTTAAAATTGATGCCTGCAGAGCAGCTACAGTTTATTTTCAGTCTTGTTCTTTCCACTTTATTTCTAGACTAGACAATTTTATAGCTCATGCTTTAGCTACTTCAGCATATCAGCAATCGGCTGCTATGTATTGGGATCTTCTCCCACCTAACATTATTTCGGCATATTTTTAATAAAGCACCACATATATTTTTCAAAAAAGATTTCCTCAACTAAACCTATAAAAGGGGGAGAAGAGACGCAATTTCCTCTTCTTGAATGAATGGCTTGCTCTCATGCTCTTCTTGTTGGGTTCTCATGCTGTGCTCAATGGATTCTTGAATCACAGTACACAGTGAAACTCAAATATTTTTTCTTTTCCTGTCATAGGGTTATTGCCTCGATGATTTTTTTTTTTTTCCTGCATTTCTATCTCCATTTGCTTTTTCATACCTAACCGTGCTAACATGCTCTTCTAGTCGGGTGACCTTTCACCTTTGAGCTGCTCAACCTCTTGTTAACTTAATCTTAATTTCATGATACATACAGAAATTGGGTAGTGATCACTTGCCTTTGGCTGCTGAGTTTGCCTTCATTCAGTGCGACAGAGAAGAAAATGAAGTGATCACCTAGCTACCCAGACTGAAGAAGGCTAGCTTCGGGTAGTTATATATATATATATATATATAATGTTACCATAGAAAGTAGAAACAGCTCTGTGAATGGGATGAGAATTTGTAAAATGTACCTTTAATTCATTCATTCTCCCAAAAGGTTGAATCCCAACCCTAAGGGCCCCCACAGAGCATTTGGGAGGATGTAAATCATGGTAACTCAACTGAACATGAACCATAGAGGTAGGAACCCCCATTCACTTTGAGAGGTTGCTCCCACACTGCCGCTGGTGAGACTCGATCCTTGGTCATTCTTTCAAACTTTCGTCTCTCTTCCAAAATGTTGAACTCCAACCATAAGGCCCCTCCCACCACAGAACATTTGGGAAGATGTAAATCAATCATGGTAACTCTCCCTTCTGTTCATATACTTTCTCAACCTACTGAAACACTCAATCATGGTAACTCTCCCTTCTGTTCATATACTTTCTCAACCTACTGAAACACAAAGAGCGAATAACGCCTCCACAGAGGCTCGAACTCACAACCTTCCAAATGGAAGTTCAACCCGGGTATCATTGGACCACAGTCTTGGTGAGGAATGAGAATGATTAGATTATTAAGATTTATAAAAGATACTTCGTACTAGTTTTTATATGCGAGATAATGCCCTATAATTGTTTTTAAATAAATACTCCAAAATATATCAATGCAATATTATATAGAAGATGTTCATATATGAATAGGTAATCGAATGTTGAATATGTTTATTTAAAATGGTAATTCAAAGCATATAAATACAAAATAATATATGAGATAGTGATTATAATTGTCACTAAAATAAATGTTTGTAATTTTGTAATAACGCTAGTTTAAATACTTAGTCTAAAAGTGATAGTCTAAATAAATACTATTTTTTGGTTTAAATTTTTTTAAGTTTTCTTAATTCTCTTTTAGGTAGCATTGTCATTGTCTTTATCTTTGGTACATGTCTTTTTTTTTTTTTTTAATTTTATTTTTTTTTATTGGTAGTGTGTCATGTGCTATTGGGTTACTGGTGGTAGCATAGAGAGCATCATCATGAAATGAGATTATGGTGTTAGAAGTTTTAGATTTGCCTTGCTGTGTATATGACTGAGATCTTAGTTGTACTATGAACTCTTTATCTAGTTTTTCCCCTACATGTTCAATGCGTTGTGAGATGTGTGTCATAGATTATAGTATTGAATAAAATATTAATATTTATTATATTTCTATAAAATACTTGGTAAATAAATATATAACATATTTTTTATTATAACTTTGAGATTTAATTACAAGATAATGTAAAAAGAAAACAATGGACAATGTAGTGAATATAATTAATTAATGAATTTGAAGGTAAGAAATCTTTGAATTGTATAAAATAAAGATAATATAACTAATGAAATTAGATTTTTTTTTAAATTCTTTTTAAGGAATAATTTTTTTTAATAAAGACATTATAGACATCTAATTCTAAATTAATTAAATTTATATGTATTATTTTTTGTTGTAGCTACCAATTTATTTCTATCTACATCTACATCTACAATTTTAATAAGAGCCAATAATGTTAGACCTTTAACTGGAACAAAAAAATGTCGGTAGTATTATTTCTTAAAATGAATGGTTCATATTATTTTGATTTTATTATTTTTTAATAATTTTCCTTATTTATCCTCTATTATATTATTTTCTTCCCTTAAATAACCTTTCCGTTAGTATAAACTTTAGTAACGGAATATTCCGTTAACTATTTATTATTTTTAACTTACTCATTAATTTCTATAAGAAAAGTCTTAGGTTCGAACCCCATCCCAATTAGAGTTGACATAATTGTTAAACATATATTATGAATATGTTAAAATGTATTATATATATATATATATATATATATATATATATATATATATATATATATATATATATATATATATATATATATATATATATATATATATAAAATTTAACATAAACTTTGGTCAAATAATTAGTCCGACTAAATAAATAACATTCAAAGTTAAGCATCAAAGCTTATAGGAATAAAGTTCAAATTGGCCACTGAACGTAACCTGAAAATGCAATTAGGCCACTGAACGAAAAAAAAGTGCAATTAGGCCATTGAACACTCAAAAAATGTGCAATTAGGCCACTGAACTCTCCAAACGTATGCAATTTTACCGGATAGCAGGTTATCATCAATTTTAGCAGGTTACTTGCTTACGTGGCAGCTTAGTTGGCATTTTTAATAATTTTTAAATAATTTTTAATAATTAATTTTAATAATAAATTTTATAAAAAAATTGGAAAAAATTAAATAAAAAATAAAATAAAGTCGTTTTTATTTTTTAAAAAAATTTTGTAATACAAAGTTATTATTAAAATTTATTAAAAATTAATTAAAATTTATTACAAATGCCAACTCAGCTACCACGTAAGCAGATAACCTGCTAAAATTGAGGGTAACATGCTATCAGGTGAAATTGCACATTTTTGGAGTGTTTAGTGGCCTAATTGCACTTTTTTTCGTTCAGTGGCCTAATTGCATTTTCAGGTTACGTTCAGTGGTCAATTTGAACCTTATTCCAAGCTTATAAATCAATAACTTTAAAAATCATTTGATTTTTATGCATTTAAAAAAAAATTTAGGTTAAGTTTTTTTTTTTTTTTTTTTTTTTTTTTTTTTTTTTTTTCGTTTAATTAATCTTCGTTTGATTATTTAGATCAGAACAAAACTCAATATTTCAATTACACCTTTACATTATTGGTATGATTTAGGTCGTTATGGTATTAATATCTTTTATATGTATTATAGTGGTACATTATTAACTCTTATTAGATTTGTAGAAAAGAAAATCATGTTTAGTTGATTTAATTATTATACGGCAAATTATGATGTGCATCCATGTGCACCATGCATGGTGCACATGGTTGCAAAAACGACGTCGTTTTGACTAAAAACGCGCGTCCCACTTAAAAAAAAAATCAGTTTCGATTATCGGCAACAACATTATATTGTGCATAATTTGAACTATATATCCAGAATGAATAAATTAAATATCCAGAATGCATGAACTAAAAATTCAGAATGAATGAACTAAATATCTAACATGAATGAAAAAAAAAATCAGTTTCGATTTCCGTCTAAATATCCAGAATGAATGAACTAAATATCCATAATGAATAAACTAAATATCCATAATGAATGAGCACAACATAATGCTGTTGACGGGAATCGAAATTGAATTTTTTTTTTTTAGTGGGACACACATTTTTAATCAAAATAACATCATTTTTGCAACCGTGCACAACATAACGATTGATTATTATACATTAGGATTTGGTGATTGGGCCAGTTTAACCTCCAATTTTTGTATCATCACTTCTGTATTAGATCAATAATTATGTTGAATTGCTACATCTCGGCAATTTATATCGTGGACCAGGGTTTACAGTGCACTGTGGACTCTGGTCCAATGTACAGAATTTGACTTCATAAAGTACAAAATTCATATTCATAATGCACAAAATTCATGTACCAAAAAATAATAATGCACAGAATTCATGTTCATAATACACATACACATAAACACGATATAATGAACATGAATTCTGTATATTATGTTAAGTGTTTATGTATGCTCAATTATATAATTCACAGAATTCATGTTCATTATATCATGTTTATGTGTATGTGTATTATGAACATGAATTCTGTGCATTATGAACATGAATTCTGTGCATTATGAACATGAATTTTGTGTATTGGACCAGAGTTCACAGTGCATTGTGAATCCTTGTCCGCGATATAACGATTGATAAATCTCACTCAATGGAGAATTTTTTTTTATTTTTTTATTTTATTTTTTATGTTTGTTGTTTTATAAAGAAATTTGGATTTTTTTTTTCTCTCTGGTTCGCGAATTTCCCTCCTCTCTGCCTTTTTTTGCGTTTTTCTAGGGTTTTGCTGGTATCATCGTATTTGCCGTCGCTGATCATCATGGCGGCGTCCGATATAGCTAATTTGTTCGCTAATCTTACTCTGGCGGACGTGGATGACGATGAGGGCTCCATGCAACTACCAAACATCCCGGTAAACCAGGAAGATAATGAAGAAGGGTTTTACGTAGTTTGTCGGATAATCACCGATAAGCCTATAAAATTCCAGTTTTTCCAAGATACCATGGCTGGAGTGTGGCGACCTGGTCTGGGGCTTACTATGCGTTAACTACAATCTCATAGGTTCTTGATCTGTTTCTTTCATGATGCAGATATTACAAGGATTTTGAACGATGGTCCCTAGAGTTTTGAGCAAAGTTTACTGGTTTTACATAGACTTGAGCCAAATGAGGATTTGGAAGAGGTTGATCTCCATCGAGTAGAATTTTGGGTATAGCTCCACAATCTCCCAACGTGCTTTCGATCATAGGCAATTGTCACAGCTATTGGCTCATTCTTGGGCGTCTTTGTTCGTTCTGATGACAAAAACTTCGATGGATCCATGCATACGTTTTATCGTGTTCGTGTTGCGATCGACATTGCCAAGCCGCTTAAAAAACAGATGAAATTGAAAAAATATGATGGGGCGGATGGGCTACAAAAAAAAAAAAAAGTTCCCTAAAGACATCTTTGAACCCACTTCACAGTATCCCAATATTCTCTCCCTAAATTTGAGAGAAATTTGCTAATAACACCCACTGCATGAGTAATATCCAATCTTGTACATACCATGACAAATATGCCCAATCAACAACCAGGGCTCTGATACCACTTTGTTGGGAAAAAGTCACATCCTGCATGAATATTTGTGCATTGTGTCGGGTTTGTGATATTCATTATCACAAGAAGTGATATTTTTACCCAACAAAGTGGTATCAGAGCTATTTTCCACATAGTAGGGAAGCCCAACCCAACAGATGGTTATAATTTGAAAGTTAAGAACTAAACATGGCAAAATCGCTATAAGATAGCATTAACTCAACAACAATATTAAGTATCAATTGCAATTTATATTACGAAGACGACAAAGGCAAAACACTGCAACGTAGTGGCAGCTTTGGCCCGTAACTGTTGCTAGCTTGTTAGTCATTACTGATTCTGGCCCTTTATTCTCCATCTTCTTGATCAAATTATCAAAA